GAACGGGCCCGATGCAAAGCGTAAAATTTGGTTCGAAATGTCCCGAAGGCGAACATTTTAATATCGCGGTGTGAGCGGAACCGATACCGACGTTCAACTTAGTGTCGTGGCTATGTCATTCGCATCCCCCAAGGAGCAACGCCCACCCAGAACCAAAGTACCACGGGTAATGAATAACGCGCTTTGTAAGTACCGGTACAAAACAGAAAACCGAAGAGGGCCACTAGTTCCGCACGGCCGGTCTTCCATGTGAGATTTACCTGGCTTTGCTGATTGGTTTTGGCGTACATTTCCCCAGAAGACCATTAAACAGCCTCCTTAGTGATGTCGATGAATACCGGCAATACTACTTATTCTCCGGTTTCGGTTCAAGTATCCTATTAAATAGGCCGACCTTGCTGGAAAAAAACAGACAAGTCTTGATTTCGGTTTACAATGTATGGAGCAACTCCATTTGAAGATGGTTAGGTCATCGTCTTCATCGAGATACGTCCAGAATTCCACTTTCACATCGAACAAACTTTTTTCATGTGGCTGAAAGAATTGTATCTCCATTTCCATTGGCTTTTATTCAGCTGTAAAGCGTTTCATATTCTTCGGTAAAACTGTTCTTTACCTACCAATGTAATGACAGTCACCTCACTAATCAGGTGTCTTGCTCCCTTATGTAAAGGTAATAACGCTTGGTTCACTTAGCCTGTCTGCCTTACTTAGCTAATCCATTGTAGTGGAAGCCACCAGTTGAATCACCTGATTTGAACCTATCACATTAACTACAGAAGTGGCCAGCAATAGTGACTGAGCACCCAGACAATCGGTAAACTGTACACTGCGGCACTCCAACCGTCCTAGTCGCCAGACAGCTCACAAATTCTCATCCTGAAGGCTGCCAAACGCTCCAATGCACATGAACTTTCAAGGCTGCAACTTGAAGATAGGGATATATAACGCAAATTCGGTCTTCCGTAACCATCGTTCGCCCGTAAAATATTTATTTTTTGGTTTCCTCCTGCATATATGCACAAGGTGATGAAATTAGAGTTGTAGCTAGATGGACTGTGGTCAAGCTCGATTCTATTTTACTGGATATGACAATAGTTGAACGAACGAGACTTTTAAAACATTACCTCTTCCACCAGTAAAAAAACGCCATTAGCAGCCCTGAACTAAATTGGCTTCTCGCGTTAGTCCAAACGGGGGCTTTACTTACTGTTCCATAGCGCTTTTGTGAGAAGTTTTTGTACACGGAGAGCCAGAAGTTGTTGCCCCCATAGGGGGCTTTTTGGAGGCCTTGAAACAGTTTCCTCAAAGAAGACACTCTACAGTTGAACTGAAGAGTGGGTGCGAAGAAGAGAGAGATTCACGACAGCATTCACTGTCGGTCAAAACTTGCTGTGCGACCACCGTTTTTAGAGGTGAATGACTAAATGTAGCTCTTATTGTACTAATCTCGCCTAGGTGATTATTACACGGTCTCAGTGAATTCTTCAGGTAGGGACTGTTGTCATGGTTCGTCGTTTTAACAATCTCCCCCAAACAATAGGAACAAGGATGATAGTTCAGTCTTCTCGACTTCTAGGGAGATGCGCACTCTGACGGACTACTCTCTTTAAAATTCAGTCGGTGTCGGATCCAGATTCGCCATTGGTAGCTCATGGATATAGCGAGACGAACAGCTTTGAAAGCAAGCTAAACAGGGTCGTCAAGCGTTAGTGTTGGTGATTATCACAAAAGCGCAGTTGGATGCCGTTGCTTTTCCATAGAATCGGTGAACGAAACTGTGGCAGCTACAACCAGTGTACGACGAATACGCGGTTCTTACAGCTGACAATGATGATTCATAGAATAGGGACGCCACCTGAGTCCGTTCAAGAAAGTAAGCAGCTATGTTGTCTTCCATTCAAAGAAATTTGGAACTTACGGCAATTGTGTGGACCATATTCGTGTATCTTACGCTGATGGAATTTGATGAACTCTGTCAGTTCCCGTATGCAGTCCTTTGTTACGAGAGGCCTAAGCCAACAAGGCGTTTCTGCTCTGTTTTCGGGACGACCACAGTTGCACAGACCCCATTATCCAATCCCGGGAGCACTTGATACCTGATACGGAACACAATTAGTTTGGAGGGTCATCTCTGTGGCAAACTTTAGCAAGAGTGGTAGGATGTACGGTTAATTTCTTTTCGTAAAAGATAGTACCTTAGCCAGCAAAGTGGCCTATATGACGGAACGAATGAATACATCAATTAGGCAGGATCTCGGAGAAATATACCAGATGTTATTTGACCGGGTAACAGACAAAATACTTCGTAATACAAGCTCCATTTGGTGTACACATATTCAAAACAAAGCAAAAAATAAACAGGTAGAGTAAAGTAAATTAATTCGAAGGTGTTGAGACTGGAGCTGTTGTCAAGGTCAGTTGCAGCCGCGTAACCTAAGCTTTCAAACCCGACTTCGTTTACAGCTTTCTTCGTGATCTGCACTCACAATCATTCACAGTATCCTGACTGGATAGGCCAAGTAATTGGATTCCGCTAGAGATCTGCAACTCGTGAGGCTAAAGGGGCTGTGAGCAGAGGGATTACGTGCAAGATCACAAGGCCACTGCTATTGAAACCAAGTTCATCTTCACAATTCAACAATTCAGTCACAAAAGCCGTTGTGAATTTATGTCTGAACTACATCGCAAGATGCAGAGAAAGGACTGTTTTGTATGTGCCTATTTGGCGTGGAGTGACGCTTCGCCACCAAATCCAGTGGATCCTTGCAAGCAGTTCAGAACTGAGGGTCTAATTATTTTTGTTTTACCTTAAGGACTACTAGCTCAGAAAACACATTCGATTGAATAAATCTTGGTTAACTTGACAAAAATGATGGTCTTAAACCAACGAAACACTCAAAGATTTTTGTGTGAAAATTAACCAAATAATCAAATGACTTACTCGAGGACATGGCCTATTGTCAACACGATCTAAGCCGATCCGAAAGGCAGCAGCGGGTCCACGGAGAACCAGAACCACCCTCATGGCCGCTTGACCGAAAAGTATGTCTTGCCCATCTGTCCATCAGTTTTGTTTTCACCTGCTAGCCACCGTCCCGTACTCAGTGTTTGGAACAGAAATTCGGTCTAATGGAGCACAGCAGTTCACTCACTCCTAGGTCTTACTCTTTATGTATTCCTAGTTGAGATTACAACAGCCTTTTCTATAGCGGAACACGCTCCAACTGATATGTAGACAGGGGGAACCTGCCCCACCATGCATTCATTCAATTGAGCCATAGCAAATGAGGTAACAGAAGTGCGGCACACGCAAATTAGCCCATTATATTGTTGTGTTATTGATGTTCGCCGTCCAGGACAGGGTCAGCTTGACCCTCTGTGCTTGACTGGAGTCCCTAAACGACGTGGCGGCTATCCGTTGTCAGTTGCGTTCATGCTGTCAGTTCCTATCGCGGTTGTTTGACTGAGTGCTGAAGGTATTGTCAATGGTGATCATGTTGGTGGTATTCTCCAACTGAATGTGTTGCAAAAAGGCCGCATCATTTTCCAGTGGATGGGATATATAAGATGTCAGATTTTATTATCTCGGTATACCACACCACTTACATGGTTTCTGAAACCTCCGACAGGCCACCACCAGTTTCGTTCTGCTCAACGCTCCTCAGGCAGGGTTAATCCCCGATCTTCTACCATCGCTGCCACAAACGAAATTCAACCGACTCTACCACCAACACCAGAGTAATTAGCAAATGAGTGCATTTCTTTGTTTACATCCAATTTGGTGTCAAATTAATTATGGACGGCAGGAGCTCGGTAACTACACCTACTTGATGAGACCCAAAAAGGGGAAATCAACAGTAGGCTGTCGAAGAGCTTCCGGTAGCCTTGTACGTAGTGCTTAATATCAAACTATCGAAAACCGTCGGTGACATACTTTTCACGAACCCGGGCCCCATTCTTAAGAATCTAGTCTTCTTATGCGGCCTCGTACAAAGTGTTTGAGTACTCGTGTTTCGTTTCGCACGCAGCTGCGACCGACATCATAAGCGGCCTGTTTCCATGCTTTATGCTATTATTTCTAATGATCCCACTCAGCTTCCGATCTTGAGCTTACTGCATACTGTTATGAAAATAAATGTATCTAGCTCATGAATGTACTTTATGACCCTTATATAGTATGGTGAATGTAAAGTCCAGTAACTAAGGACTTCTGGGCACGTACAGGGATCTCCTTTCCGACAGAACAACCCAAACAAGAGAACGATGGAGCAAACGATTGATTTGCGCAAATGATGTACACCGAGGTTTGTTCCTGCCACACGAATCAGCTGGTTATGACCAGTGTAATGAGTTAAGGAACACCAATACAAACTTGTTGCTAAATTGGGGAATCGCCACGGCAAAAAGCACACGTATTGGTGTAAATTCCATACGAAAGAGATTTATGAGTGAAGAGAATGTCGGCACATGATTTAAGTCTGCTACGGGGTGCCCATTGGGTGCCATGCGCGAAGTGCGATGAAAACAGTAGCGTTTAAGTTTCGTGAATGTTGTACAGAATTCAAGGAAAGTGGTGCAGTTAACACTCAGTAAGCAATTGCTATAATTTGACTTTTACACGCTTGCATACCAATTTAGTATTGATTAGAGACTCATCCAGAGCCCAGCTGAGTATCGTTTTCAACAACCTTATGAGCGGTGTACTGCGTCTATACAATTGCTATAGCATTTTTAGCTAGGCATTGAACCCACTTACACTGTTTTTTTTTTCTAAATACCGATCTAACGCTGTTTTCTCGGTTTTGAGGGAATTGGATACGAGGTTGTGCGCGTCCATATTTGGTCCGGTAATGTGAGAAATAAACTATATACTGTGCACACTGGTCATGATTAATAACGATGATAATTTGTATATGGAGAGCATCAGCGAATGGAATGGTTATTTGAACTTTTCTTCAGAAGTGCAGTATATAACAGGCAAAAAGGCTCATGTCAAAATTAAATTTACTAGGATTTTCTATACAGTATGTACAAAGAATTAACATGGAAGTCAGACTTTTGGCGGGGTATTCTACCGCAGATAGTCTAGCTGGTCCCACAGCCTCTTACGATCCGAAAAGCACTCTCGACGTCTGTGTTCCCGCCGCTTTCGCATCTGTTTCTCTCTTTCCAGTCTTAACAGTTCAATCGTTTTCTCACCCTGCATGCGTTCGTCTTCTTGTGCACGCTTGTCTGCCACACGTGGTTCAGTGTGCTCGCTCGTCAATCGAACACAAGGACGGCCTAAAACATCCACATCATGTACAGTCTTTGGGCCAATCCATTCGCCATCTTCCAGCAATGCCTCAGCCTGGTTGCGTTCTTGGACGACGTACATGATATTTTCCATGCTTTCTTCCACCTGTAGAAGCAGAAGGGGATCATCAAGTAACGAGCAGTACCGCACAAATAATTTCCGAAAAGCTGTACAGCATAATAACTGCGACTGTAGATCACTTTTGGAAATAACACTTAACCAGGGAATATTGTTGATTTTATTGTGAAATATAGCGAATATAATCAATACTGTCCAACCATAAACCACCACCAAGACAGGTTCCAAGTGGCGCTTATATTCATCGGTGCAAAGGTAGAATTGCAAAGATAGGCACGCAGTGGGGGCGATAGCATGTACTTTGTATGAATGACATTAGTGATAATGGTGGCAAGGTCAACTCTAGTTGGGCTGAACACAAGGCGACACTTCTTTTGCTAGTTACAAATTCATGTCGGTTGGCACCCGACTTCCATGGATACAGTCCCGAAGGTTGCCTACGTGATCGAGCCCTCCGGTTAGCGCTTTCAGTCTTTGTTGCCACATCACGACCCAACCAATTGTACCCTTTATAGCCAGTACAGAGCCGGGTAAGAATGTTTCTGTCGAGCGGGCTTTTCTCTGGCATGTAAACTACGAAGCCTAACAGCGCGCAAGTTGGCCTCCCACAAAATCACCAGACATACACTAGCATATGAGACGAAGGGAAACGAAAGAGTTGTAATGAACCGTGTTTTTCTAAGTTGTATATTGTGCTGTCTCCAACTAAACATCAAGGGTTTAATCCAAAGTGAGTACTGGTTGGGGAATTCGATATGGGACAAAAGTGTACATAATTGGAACCACAATGTACCTTCTCAAACCGTTCTGGGTTGGGCATTCGCTCGAGGCACCGGTAGTGCTCTTCGTCCATCGTCATTAGCATGTTCCGTTCTTTGAGTAGTATATGCCAAAGCCTGTGAAGATCGGAGTTACTCTTCAATCGAAGCTCTTCTTTCCGCCAGGGCCTTCCTGCGGGAACAGATGTTTCTCCCCAATGCTTTGGATCATCGAAAAATTCTTCTAGACCACGCCGATTGGCTGTGGTGGAAACAAGTCGATAATTAGAGTTATAGCTTCTGGACAGACTGTTTCGGTCACAAACTCTGGCATAATTTACCTGCATATAGCACCAAGACCTCGAACACTAGCTGTTCTGAGATAAGGAAACATGAAACTGCTTGGGTTAATACAAATTGCAGGATACGCTAAAATGAAAATTGACGTCGGAAACTGAACATTTAACGCCAACAGTGTCAAAAAGCAACATATACACAGCCACCTACGAATTCCCAGAAATAATCTGAGAATGGGTGTTCAGTTGTGCGGCGCGCACTGACTCACAGACTCACACAAACTGCAGTGACACAAAATGGATGGTCATCGTTAATCAAGACGAGTGTTATCCTCCATGTCTCGATAATACGGGAAACAAAGTTGAGCAGGAGGGGAGCGAGCGGGTCGCCTTACCAAACACCACCAGATGTAAATGAAACTCTCAAACAACCAAAATGGTGGGAATAGAGAGCATGAAGTATAATTAAAAACTTGAGGACGTCCATCTTTGACCGAGTTGTCTGTGGAGTTAAGGGTTACTCTGAAGTTGAATAAAACCGCAATTGTCGACAGGTATTGCTGAAGCGCTCGACGTGACCAGTGCACCCAGTACCCAGGTGAAACCCCACTTGCTTCTCACGCATTTGCGTCTCAAGTGTCGTGGCTGGACACTACAGAATCATTGAAGCTAGTAGCCACGTTTTAACGGGCGTTCAACTGATACCTCCATGGTTGTGATAGTCACCTCGTGTACTTATATATATATATATATATATATATATATATATA